GCTGAGGAATTCTGGGAGTTGAAGTCCACAAGTCTTAAAGTTGCCAAGGTTGGACACCCCTAGCTTAATGCAACCTGTAACAATGAGAATGTAAAACAAGGAAAGTCTGTTTCCTAATGAAAAGAAATGTTCTATGGAGCTTCAGTATCTAAAAAAGTGTTATTCTTTGTTTGGATAATAGTGTAGTTTCTATGCTGATTTTTCTGTGGAGGAAACCTTGAACAATGCAGAAATTAATAGCATGTTCTGGAGAAGAACATATTCACAGAGGCCATAGGTCAACTTTTGTCTCTTGGAGTAGCTAGATGGTTCACTCTTAAAACATATTGAGGACTTGACTGCATCTGCTAGAGAAAACCAGTAAGATCGCACATAATGTCTTCAACTTAAACTGAATGGCTTGCTAAAGCTTGAAGAACATCTGAAAACCTTCAAGGGACTGCATCTTCAACAGAAGGCCAGTAAGATAGCACAGAATGTCTTTAAAGAAAACTCAATGGCTTGCTAAAGCTTGAAGAATATCTGAGAACTTTCAAGGGACTGCATCTTCTGGAAAAGACCAGTAAGGTAGCACATAATGTCTTTAAAAGAAACTAAGTTGTTTACTAAAGCTTGAAGAACATCTGAGAACTTTCAAGGGACTGCATCTTCTGGAAAAGACCAGTAAAGTAGCACATAATGTCTTCAACTGAAACTCAATGGCTTGCTAAAGTTTGAAGAACATCTGAGAACTTTCAAAAGATCTCAGTGTTCTCAGAGACAAAGTTGATGGAGATGTAAAATATATGGGCTAGGAACCTCAGATATCTGATTTATGGATTCTGAAATCCCCTTGTGTAGATTTCTGAATTTTGGAGGAGATTGTGCGATTTAAAAGGGTGAAACAGGCTATAAATATTGCAAGATGCCCAAAGTGTTCATTTACCCCTCAAAACCCGATCGCCAAATGGGTCCTTAATTCACTCACTTTTAAAATGTAGCCTTCAGTGTGTCACACAAGATTTGTGGCCTCCTTAAGCCATGGTAATTGCACATCCTTGATCCGCAAGTAGATGTAAAGGACAACTTTCTTGTGGGATAAAACAACTTCAAGTTGTCATGAAGATGGACTAACAAGGAAGCCAAGACAAGCTCGGTGCATATTGTGTCACACACACACACAGTCTACTCACAAACTCTGTCTCTTCCAAGCAACAATATTTTTGAAAACATACCAGGCTGGGCACTGGTCTTCTGTTTTTGAACCTTTTCCTTTTTAAATTTTGGCACTATACGAAACATGGTACTTCGGTTGTTTCGTTTACAGTATTCCAAAGGAGGATCCTAAAAAAAAAAATTAAGATTATTATTATTTTCTTTTTCTTCATTTGAGGCACCCACCAATTTATACATTAAAAGCAATTAAGATTAAACTGTAATATTTAAAAAAAATAAAGATTCTATCCATATGCAGGATGCGCTTTGTTGGAAAAGATTGTTATAAGTCCAAAAGGTAAAATACAATGGATAAACTTAATAGGATGAAAGAAAAATGAAATTATCCTTCATTTATCCAAGTTTATCCTTTAAAGCAGGGGTCCCCAACCACCGGTCCACGGACCGGTACCGGTCCGCGGAACATGTCCTACCGGGCCGCTGGCTTGCTGGGCGCCGCCATCTTTTTTTGATGAAAAAGTGCTTCCGGTGAGCTTTTCCAGGTAGAAAGCTCACCGGAAGCACGTTTTCATCAAAAAAAGATGGCGGTGCCAGCGCTTCCGGTGAGCTTTTCCGGGTAGAAAGCTCACTGGAAGCACGTTTTCATCAAAAAAAGATGGCGGCGCCCAGCTGATGCCGGTACCAGGCCGCGGCGTAAAAAAGGTTGGGGATCACTGCTTTAAAGGGATCGTGAAATTCGACCTTGAAAAAAAATGAACCAGGAAGACAGATTGTCTGCCAAGTAGAGGAATTTTAGGAATAATTCTACAATATGAAAATGTCCTGAATGGAGAGTGAAGTCATCCTTTTTCAAGACTAGATAACTGTTGGGCATAAATTAACTATATGATGAAGCAATTTTTCAACTAAATTGCATTCCTCATAACTTAAAATCTTACACACAGTAAACAAAAAAAAACCTGTATTTATATTCTCTGTGTCCCCTATTCAAATCATAAGTCTCTAGCCGCATCTCTCAACAGTAAAAAATAAAAAAAAATGATTTAATAGGAGTGGCCATGTTGCCGTTAGCTGGATGCAGCCGACACTAAAATACATCGTTCATTTCCCCCTTGACCCTGCTCTTCCCCCCCACCCCCTGGATGTGTATTCTCCAAAGGGACACATCCATAACCAAGAGTCATCAATCATGCTCTCCAGTAATATTTTTGCTCGCTGACAGCTTCGGCTGCCAAGGTGATTATCTGAGGCATTTAAGGAATGTGCTGCTTTCTCCCACTCCCTTTCTGCTGGCAACTCAAAAGACCAAAGGAGTATCTTTTTAGTTGACACTCTGCTCACACCTGAAAACTGGCAAGGTCAACCCTGAGCTTTTCTACACAAAGAACAGCCAAAAATCCATATTCATCGGTAGCCCAAATAGAACTGAATATGCTTCAAAAAGGGTGCAGGAAAAAAGAATTCAGATTTTGTGTAATAAGCACAGCACCTGCTTTAAAAAAAAAAAAAAGCACTGAGTAAACCTGGGGGAAAAAGGTGGGGGAGGGATGAAGCTGCTTTTAAACTCTCATTAACTTTTCCGAGTCTTTCAAGAGCTTTAAAGCAGCTCTATCTTTTTCAGTCTCCATCGGAAGCAACTCCTTGCTTCTGCCGAAAGGATGGTGTGTTCGCAGAAGGTTCAAATACCTCCTCCAATTCATCTTCAAAGCATCCATAACCTCTGGCAGTTTAACTTTCCTGCAAGTGGGTCAGATTTTGAAGGCAGAAAAAAAAAAAGGAACGGCGAGGATTGGGGCTTACACACGTGAAATTCCACCCACCTCATCATCATTCATCTGCAATATATAGCAGAGCCAAGGGATTTCGGCCATTTTTCTCAGTTCAGTCTCCAAATTGTGCACCGCCGACACCAGCAACTCCTCGCAGGGAGATTCCAGTTGCTACCAAAACAGCAAATTATAATTTTGTTAGGCCGAGTTGTCTCACAAGAGCCTTTCTGTCTGTCTATCACCTATGTATATCTATATAGCTAGATACCTATGTCATCTATCTATCATCTATCAATCAACTACCTCAGGGGTCCTTGGTGCTCTCGGAGCTCTGAGCAAAGAGTCACCATTTCAACCCTGAGCTAGAAAAATATTCTTCTTTATTATTACCAACTATCTAACTATCAGTCATCTATCTATCTATCTATCTATCTATCTATCTATCTATCTATCTATCTATCTATCTATCTATCATCTCTTCAATTGATCTATCATGTCATTCCTCTGTGTCTGTCTGTCTGTCTACCTATTTCTTCAATTTATCTATCATCTATCATTCCTCT